GGATTACTTTTATGGGTATCATTCATCCCTGTTAACTTTCAAACAAACAAGGGTGACTTATTCAACAATTGAATATTGGAATTGCTTGCTTCAGTTTTGCTTCTTCCCTACCGCATTGCATGCATAGAAGTTTGTGTATTTTGTAATTTGTCTACGCAACTAACTTAGTCAGCATTCACTTGTCAAAGCATTATTTAGTTCAGACTTTCCTCCAAGAGGTGACAGTTAGTTATTTACGTATTTATTTCATTAATTTTGCAAACTAAAGAGAAAGCATCATGTCCAGCTTTACCAATCAACTGTTTCAATTTTATTTAAGGAAAGAAAGCTGGATGATGGTGAAGAATATCCTTCCAAATGAAAGAACATCAACACAAGCTAGATATTCTATCACTGACACCCATAACTTTGAATAAAATTATATGTTTCTATCATTTGACAAGAATTGTCTAGGTTCAGATTTGTAAACATGGATTTCTAATATCAAAATGAATCATTCTTTTCCATTAGTAGACCCTCTCTCTCTTCTCCAAAATAGGCTGACTCAAACCCCTGTTTTTTTAGAGAAGATTTCTAAGATGAAATGGTAGGAGACTATTTCCTTAATGATAAATGGATACTATTAGATACTATGTATTTCAGTTGAAATATAAGCCTTTCCTGGCGCCTGACAGATTGCTGATGCTTTTCTGATTTTCAGTCCGTGGGTCTAATAAATTATGAAAGCCAACATATCTCATATATGAAAATCAAAAGGCACTGCTGTTTTAGGCTGAAGCTGCAGGAAAATCATATAATGTAATTAAAAAAATAGTTTAGAGAAGATGACTATCTTTTGACATTAAATTAATGTATGGTATTGCAAAAAGAGATTGGCCTTGCAAAAAAGCAGGCACACATGTCAACCGTGGAGATTCCATAAAATCCTGGAACATCCTGAGCAGAAATTGTATCATTTGGATGTTAAACAGAACAGTTTTAAAAAGTTTTAGGGTGGGAGGGTCTTTATTCTTGATGGGAGGCACAATCTAGGGATGCCAGAAGGCAGACTTTGTAAGAATTTCGAGATAATAGGTAAAGTAAAAAGTTAAAAGAAAATGCTCATAAAATGAGACTTTTGAAGACAGTAGAAATATTGAATGTGTATATTTTTGTTAACTGAAATGTAAGCAACACTAGGGAGGTCTGGAAAGACTTATCTATTTGCATAGGGCAAGCAAGTAGAAGAGACATAAAGCAAACATATTTATGTTCCTGTATATACTATTTTAGTACCAAGAAGAATAAAGCAAATATTCAACAAGAGATCCTTACAAGTCCAAGATTCTAGCAGCTACTCTTTTCTTCCTATCCATACAAACAGTGAGTGAAAAAAAATGCAGGGCAGTTCAGTATATACTGTATCTTCTTGGAGGGAAGTCCTACTGAAAAGAATTAATTCCTAAACTTGAAGAAGGTACAACAACTTTCCTGAGTAGACATACTCCAAATAGCTCGCAGTTAAACCCCTGTGATTTCCTAGCCATTTTTTTTTACTGGGAATTAAGGAACTAAAGTGTGCCAAAAGTGCTTTTCAAAAAACAACTAGATTTTCTTGGGGGCTTTTTCCCCTTGAAAAAATGAGAACCGAAGAAGCTTCTTGGATGAGAAGCAAAACATCTTCAAGGAAAAAAACCCCAAGAAAATCCAGTTGCCTTTTGAAAAACACTCTTGGGACAGCTGTGATCTGGATGTTTGAGAATCTCCACAGACATTGAGTTGAAATGTAACATAACTCAAGGGTATTGGAGTAGAAGCAAAAGTCTGTATAATAAGACTACATTTTCACTCTTCAAGTTTATGAACTTTCCAGTAAGTAAATCAGGCAAATTGGGATTTCTGCATAATGGGTGAGAGATTGTTTGTTTAGCAAAAATGGCCATGGGATTGTTGTGGCCCACCACCAGCCAGTGGAGCTGGTGGCAGACTCAGACAGTGAGGAGGTTGAGGAGGAACATGGGCCAATCCTGGAGTCTGAGGAAGGCTCTGATGAGTGTTCTACATTGGAAGCAGAGATGGGGCCAGGGCCATCTGACAGTTATCAGCTGCTGTCGGAGATCAGTGGGGCAGAAGAACAGCTGAAACCTGTTCTTGATGTGCGCATGCACAGAGCTGCCAGGAGAAGGGACCAGTTAAGAAACAAGGGCCAATTTGGGACAAAAGACACAGGTAGATGGTGGATGGTGAATGGCCCCTCCCATAGGGAATAAAGAGGAGCGAAATGGGAGGGAAGTTTACAAGAGACAATTTGTTAATTTAGTTAGTGTGAAGATATGTTCATGACTCTCAGAGACTTCTTGCCAAGTATCTTCTTGTACAGCATTGCATTTGGAAGATACCAGCATGGCAGCTCTCCAAGGCTGATAAGGTCTGTGGTTGCAAATTCACCCTTGAAAGACTGTTTTCCAGGACTTTGCTGGATGTGAATGAGAGGAAGTAACATAAAAAGGGGTTTTGTCGGGACAAGGAGTCTGCTTTGTGATTTTGTGAAACCTAGGTCAGAACAAGGCTGCCTGACATGGCTAATGGCCAGATGGCTGCAGAATCATGAGAAGTGACTTGCAATAGATCTGTGGAGTTTTAGGTTGGAAAAGATTATTATGCAGAGTAGGAATTGTTTCAAACTCAGTGGGATGGGCTTCAGTCAGGAAAGAAGGTAAGGACTACTGTCCTGCCCTAACCGTGACACCAGATCCCCATTTTCCACTTGTCAAACCTGAGATTTATTTACCCATCAATGAGATATAGCATGCTGTGATAAGAAAAGCTATCGGAGGTTGGAGATATTTTGAAAAGTGCAAAATTCCTGACTCCTAGGCTGGCTGAATGGTCTTTTCAGTTTTTGAGAAAGCAATTTTCAGGTTCCCAAGGAAATCATTTATTGAGTCCAGTACATTCTGGCCAATCTCCTGAAGAGCAAACTGAAGGAACAATGAAAACTTCATTTTCAAAACACTGTATTCTGTTACAGGAACTCATCTCTTCCTGAAAAGTCCTTTGCCACAATGTGCTAGGCCTAATAAATTACTATCTTATTCTGTGATTTCCTCTCACCTTTTTTTCAATGCTTTACTCTGATTCAAGGACAGATTTTGATTTCTTTTCTCCTTACTGTTTACTGTTTTAAACTCTTGTTATAGGAGAAACACTAGTGTAAATATACTAATATCGACAGTTATGCCAGCTGGAAATAAACTCCAAGCTTAGCCAAATCAATGCCGTACAAGGAATTAATACTTTCTCACTTTTCCCAACAAATTGGTCTTTTCATATCATGCCAGTCAAATATATTTTGAATTCATAGTTTTCAAACCAGCCAGATGGATTTGACTTAATGTCAGAGAAAACAATTACATTTCCTGGTACTAAAAATACAATTTAATGGTGGTTTCCTATCCTTTTATGGTATCCAGAATCTACTGCCTTAGCCAACTGCCTCATTCTGTGTAAAGATAGAGCCTGTCTTGGTACTTGCGAACAGCTTATAGGGCTGAGTTGTCAAGCTGATTTTTACGATATCTATGGAGAAGGATTGGTTATTATTTTGTTTGACTTGTGGCCTCCTGTATTTTTACATATGAGATTAAAATTGGTTCCAAGCATAACACTTATTTTGCTTTAGCCATAAATAGTCTCCAGAGTAATAAAGATGAAATACATACTATTTACAATGAATTATATCTAGGCTCTTTTTACAGCTTGGCTTTATTTTTATCCTCTCAGAAATGTAAAATGTTTTGTTCTCTCACAGATGGAGGAACAACAAATTTCCAATATACCAATTTATTTGTATCAACAGTTTTTTCTTTTTTTTTCAGTCTTTTATGTTGCAATGGGAGAGAACAAGAAATATAGAAAAAAACTTCCTTGATTAACCTCCACAATTAATATGTGTTGTCCAATATTAAAAGAAAAGACTGTAGAAATTTGATGTAGTTTTATACTCAAGACTAGTTAGATCGTGTGCATCTTTACATTTTTTTTGATTGACCTGAGGAGGGGAAGCTGTATTGCAGTTGTTGAGTAGAAATGAAAAGAAAATGACTTATCCACTCCAAATTACATGGCTGACAATGTGAGGCAATAGTGGAGGCTATGAGTGGATGAAAACAACTTGGTGAAGGTGTTGTGTAGTTGCCAAATTGCTTGGAGCTTCAAATGTTGTTAACCTCAATAATTACTATTTAGAACCTTCCCTTCAGATATGACCATACCTGCTGCTGCCCACTCACTCTATTGCCTCTTCATTAGTCCTTTAGCCAAGATTAAAGGGGCTGTTTGTTTTTTGCATTGCTCGGTGATTGTGTCTAAGCTTTTGTAACCAACACAGTAGATGCTAAGTTTTAACAAAACTAACAAAATTTCCTAGAATAGCATTTAAAAAACATTTTCTGGAATTCAAAGAAACATGCAAGAAATTATTTTTAAAAAAAATCAATATCAGGCCTGGGATGCAATTTTTGGTTTTTTCTCATATTCTTCCTCAAAATTCTTCCCTTCTAATCACCAAATGCCCTTCCTTCTTGTCACCTACTTCGCAATAGGTAGCCAATGTGAAGTATCTTTTCATTAGCCATGATAATAACGGCAAAGGGTAGGGAATCATAAAAGAGAGCAAAATGAGAGCAAATCCCACACTTTACTAACAGTGATGACACCTAGTTTAGTAATGAAATGTCTGCAAGAAAATAATCAAGCTCAGTGAATGTGTATTCCCCCAGCATATAATTTATAACATATAAAAATAGTACACTGATGGAGTTTAATTCTGAGCACATTTTTAATATACAAAGATAAAACCACCTTGTCCTTTTTTGTATATCCTAAATGATATCCAAGATCATTTATTTATTTGATTCACTGTAGAGTCTGCTTATTCTGCCTTAACCAAACAGCAATCAAGACAACTAGAAAATATGAATGTTTGCTGATGTTGAGATGTTACTAATTAAGATGCTTACCAGAATTTTTATTGGTCTTATTTTGTCTGCTCTTTACTTGCTCAGTCCATAATGTAGGGTAGCGAGAAGCTATATCTAGAACAATAAAGAACAAAATCAGACTGTTACAATGGAAAACATAATTGCTACCACAATATATTAATTCAAAGAAATGAAAAATGTAAAAACATGACAGAACAATCTTTCATTTATGAAGGTATTTAGAAAATGTAGCATGACAATATTTCAGCATAAATACAGTACATGAAACAAATGTTCTTGTTAAATAGCTTTATTTTACACTAATAACAAATTATGATCCTGAAATCCAACATGCCTGGCATAAATGCAAAAACAATATTGATTGTCTGAATAACCAGGTTGAATCACAAACAATGGGATACTTTGGGGGGGAAATGCTAGTAAAGCTGCCACTTTTTAAAAGATAACAATTTAAAAGGAATTTCATTTATTTCACTCAAAATGAAATTAAACACAAGATTATTAGGAGTGTAGATTAAGATGCAAAAATGACAGCTTAGACATATATTTATGTACAGCATCTATCTGTCTGTTTATTTGTCAATCTATCATTTATCTATAATTTTTGAATGGTTTCAAGGATTTGGCTTTCTCCTTGCAAATGGGTTGGGTACAGTGGTGGGATTCAAAATATTTTATTACCGATTCAGTGGACATAGCTTGGTGGGTGTGCCTTGGTGGGCGTGGCAGGGGAAGGATACCATAAAATCTCCAATCCCTCCCCACTCAAGGGGAAGGTTACTGTAAAATCTTCATTCTGTCCCAATCAGCTGGGACTTTGGAGGCAGAGAATAGATGGGGGTGGGGCCAGGCAGAAGTGGTATTTATCGGTTCTCTGAACTACTCAAAATTTCCACTACTAGTTCTCCAGAACTGGTCAGAACCTGCTGAATACCACCTCTAGTGGTGGTATCTCTTAGTCTAATGACTTACTATAATCCTCTATAAATCATTTTAGCGATCCAGGTTCAAAAGCAATAAAAAATCCTTGTGTTATTTTAAAGTCTAATCAAGTTATGCTTGGTCTGTCAGTTTAATGTCAGCATTCCAAGTAATGCACCCATAGAAAACACAACTCTGGGGCAGGTAGATTCCTCAAAGAATAATTTATGTATACATCATATTGGCACAACTGGTGAAAACCGATTCTGAAAGTTCCCACGATTTTCACCTAATTAAAAAGTGAAAGTTCCCCCTTTCCTCCCAGGTCATCAGTCACATTGTCCAATAGAGATGCTGGCTGGTTGCTTGGTTACTCCACTCCTGCTCTTCTTAGCCATCTGTTAAAATGGCCTTGGCTCCCATACTTTTTATTTTGATGGCCAACTGAGCCATCTAATTTTCTTCCTCCCTTTCTCCTCCTCTGCCTTGTGGCAACCATGAAGCTTCAAAGATAGCCTCAGCCAGGTTCGCTTCAGGTTGACATGGGCATTATCATGGTTACAGTCTAACACAACTGGAGGAAAATTGATCTAGATTATTAACTAGAGTCTACTGCATCAGAAATAGGAAGTGACTTAGTATCTCACAGAAGAGAATAAAAAATAAATCCTGGCCATATTTCTCTAATATCATATAGACAGTTTGTAACAGATCTCAGCTAATATTGCCAAGGCCTTCCCTTCCCATTTCTATAAATTCTCACCTTCTTCATCTCCTTGGGGCTGAGGCTCCAGTGCAGGAGCTGAGGCATCATCTGAATTCAGAATGGAAAAGATTTGCAAGGAGACTACAATTATGAAAGTAAGCTAAATAAGTGCACATATATAATAAATGACTGCTAGTTAATAAATTAACAGTTGCATTTTTTTTTACCACACACACCAAATGAACAAATGTACACACAATTGTATGTGTACGTATTTTAAAGCTTTTTAGTCACTGTCTTAATTAAATTAAAACATTTATGAGGGTTTCTGTCATGGACAAGAACATTTTCCAGTAACCCCATTCAATCCAACCTAGACGTTCCTTATTTTCCCTTATGATTGCATCACATCTATGAAAACAGGATAAAAGTATGCACACAAAGTATGCATAATACTTTGAAAAATTACGAACATCTCACATTTATTTTAACATATTTATTTACTCTAGGTAGCATATGTTCCCAGGGGAGCATACAACCCAAATGTAATGCTTAGATAAAATACATAGCAGTAAAAAATATTAATAATTCAAACATGGATTTTAAAGCAGAACAGATTTTGGGACTTGGATGATTTACAAGGTTGGCATAAATAAAGCGACTTTATATTTATAAGACTCTTCAATTTTTGTTATTTTTATTTGTTCATAAATTGTTAGCTATCTTGAATACCTTCAATGTGAGATATTAATTGAAATAATGAAAAAATGCATCAATTAAAACAAACTTTTTACAGTATTTTTTGTCAAAAAGATCTACCCTCCTTCTTTTAGAGATACTTGTCAAAAAATTCAAATGAATATCTTAAAAATCAGATGTTAAGGTATGCCTAAAAGGTATGATCATTTCTGTCTATTCACAAGAAAACAATTCAGCCATTTCTCACATATTTTCCATGCATACTACAAACTAGGCTGTAAGAAATGCTCCACCTATAGATTACAACAAAAACAATGTCACACTGTACCAAATTTTTGATTGTCTAAAAGGTAAAGGTTCCCCTCTCACATATGTGCTAGTCATTTCTGACTCTAGGGGGTGGTGCTCATCTCCGTTTCAAAGCTCACACCATTATGGGGCACTAGAGATTTGAACTGCCGACCTTTCTGATCAACAAGCTCAGCTTCTTAGCCACTGAACCAACACATCCCTTTTTGTCTATACACTCCAATTTGAGTTTTTTAAATGTTTTTTTTTAGTTTGCTTTCTTCTAGCAGTATGTTTTTGGTGGCTTCTCCATCTTTCTAATTCACTCAACAAGGGGAGATACAGTATGAAGAGACTAAGGGTGATAATGTACAAATTAAAAGACCAATATATGAGAAAATATTCCTCAAATTATAAAACTTTATAAAACAATGGTTTTATCATTTACATCTAAAAATCAGGGTTGGAAAATGTTGTGTTTACTTGGTTAATGGTCAATTCTAAATAAAAAGCCATTAAATGTTCACCTTATTCTCTAAAGAAATGAATAATGATGCCTTTTAAAAATGGACATTGCACTTCTTTGTTTTAAAAAAGGAAGTAATAGCATATGCATTGCATATATCATTTACAAAATATATCTGGGCACCCCCTCAATAATATTTTACTTGAGTCTTCTGTCCCAATTCTCTTATGAAAGCTAAATTAGCAATAGTACTTAGACTTATATACTGCTTCACAGTGCTTTGCAGCCTTCTCTATGTGGTTTACAGAGTCAGCATATTGCTCCCAACAATCTGGCTCCTCATTTTACTGACCTTGGAAGCATGGAAGGCTGAGCCAATCAGAATCAAACTCCTAACAGTTGGCAGAATTAGCCTGCAATACTGCATTCTAACCACTGCACCATCACTGCTCGTATATTATTTCTAATCTGCTAGTAAGACAATGTTGTAATGCTGGTTATTTCTAGAAGATGGTGGTAATATTGCCTAAGATAACTATGAGCCTATGGGGTTTTACTTTGCTCTATTTTATCTATATGTTTTTATTCCTACTTTGGGAATGGATACATATGGAACTTCTGATATTGTTAAAAATAAAACAAGAAAGTCTAGTTTGCCCTTTGGAAAAAACACCTGATTGTGAATATTCATAGACAGTGAGAGTTACAATTTAGCTGTAAATAGAAGAGCATCAATTTCCTTGTCTACTCAAACAAAAAAATTACATTAGTGTCCTTAATGATAGATAACATGCCTCACAAAATACATCATAGTCATATTGTTATCAAAATCTTCTCTGTCCAGTACTATATAACAATACTGTGTTTTGCACAATATGAGCCGAAGTGGCGCAATGGTTAAATGCAGCACTGCAGGCTACTTCAGCTGATTGCAGTTCTGCAGTTCGGCTGTTCAAATCTCACCGGCTCAGGGTTGACTCAGCCTTCCATCCTTCCAAGGTGGTTAAAATGAGAAGCCGGATTGTTGTTGGGGACAATATGCTGATTCTGTAAATTGCTTAGAGAGGGCTGAAATCCCTATGAAACGGTATATAAGTCTAACTGCTATTGCTATTGCTATTGCAGTTGGGCTAGATTATCAGTGGAATTTGTCACCAGAGATGCCATAGTAATATTGTCAGCACTGTCCCATTATCTTCGGCACAATGGGGTAAGCAAATAGAGCATTATCTTCACAGAGCTACCTAGGTGAGAATCTAATGAGGATTCTCACCCTGCAGCCCCAAAAACAGTGGACAGTCTGCATAGCACCGGTGTTTTAAAATGTAAGAAACAGAAGAGAAATCAAAACTGAATGCAGCAATTCTATGTATGATTCTGTTCTATAGGGAAAAGAAAGTTCCATGCAACCATAAATCAAATTACAGGCAACTAAATAAGCACTTTCTGTGCTTTGAAGTTCCGATTCCATTTTAAAATATTTGCATCCATATTTTAAAAGACTGAAAATATAAGGAACATGTAAGAAACCTAAGAAATATAAAGAAAATATAAGAAACAACATGACTTGATTCCTGAAAGCCTTTTCAATGTAAAAATGCCCCAATCTTTCAGAATCTATGTTGGCTTTGTCTGGTCAACTGGGACCGAAAATGCCTCTTAAGTGTCATACTAGATATTTAAGTAATGAGGTATTAAACCTTAACAGGCATTCTGCCAAGCTTAAATAAATATGAGTTGTGGCAGCTGGCTGGCTTCAGCAACAACCAACACACAAACAGAACCTTGCTTTAGAAAACATTCAGCTTCACACCTGCTTTTGTTTCCCCGTGTCTCAAACACAGTGTGTAGCTGTAGGCTGGTGTTAAGATTTCTTCCTTCATTGCTGCTCTGACTCAACACTCAGGCAAAGTTTAAAAACTACATAGCATATTTAGTACTTTGCGTACTAATAAAAATGTCTAATTTACGATCTGTATTGAGTTTCTTCAAAAAAAGCTAATTGACATCTGGAGCTGACATATTTGCCTGGCAAATGTATGAAAGAGCGATTGCCCTCAGGTAGCATACTGTATATACACAGCTCACATTACGCGGTTGAAAAGTTACTCGTGTTTTCATATGAAATGGTTAAGTGTGCTATGGTTCCTATAGGAGCATAAATCAAGAATAGTTATATAATGTTGAATTTGCATTACATAACTCAGTTTTCCTGAGCTTGGCCACTTCATTGCAAATCACTAAAGCAAATAAAGAAAAAAGAAAAAAATAAATAAACTTGAATATATATCCCCATTAATCTTGGGCATAATTCTACCGACAACATTTGGAGGTAAACTGGTCCAGACAGATATATGAAAGATTTTAGCAAAGACACATAACATGTTATAAAAAGATAACATTAATAAAAGAAACTGGCTCCAAATATAATCCATCAATTTAATTTATTATAATAAATCCTAACCAGAAATTTTAACCTCCATTAGCAAAATAAAAGAGATCTCTATAGTTCAATCTTAAGTAGAGCAGATTTTAGAAATCAGAATGGTCCAGAAAGCAGCAGCCAAGACTTTAAGGACTGTTAAGTACAGCACAAATCCTACTGACTGTGGATAGTATGTGAGAATTGTAACAATTCACAAAAAGAAAATAGAAACACTGGATTTGGGAGTGGAGGATGAGTAGGACTAAATGAAACTGAATTTGATATATTTATTTTGTTTCTGTTAAAACTTTTAAAAATACCAATTCAGTACTAGAATTAATACATATGACTATGCACATTTTTCCTAACATGCACCTGTAGGCATACTATTTTGCCAAAGTTTCTTTCAAGTCATAGGTTTCATAGCTATACACAATGTTACACACATATAGGCATTTAACATATATTTTTAAGTGGCAAAATAAAATCAGGAAATGTTGAAAGAAAACATTTTGTACACATATTATTTCAATGACTACAAATTATTTAAATTCCCATCAAAATGCAAACTAACCTAAATTATCAATTTCCCTAGGAGGAGGGGAAGGAAATACTCATGATCCCATATATCAGAATTGATCAGAATCCCATATATCAGCATAGGTGCTGCAGTCCCTATTATCTCTCACTACTCACCCACATTGACTAAGGTCAACAAAAGCTCCATGTTGCCTAACTCTGTCTTATATTAAAGATAAAAGTTTCCACTGTTCAGTCATGTCTAACTCTATGGGATGGTGTTCATCTCCATTTCTTAGCCAAGGGAGCCAATATTGTCCAAAGACCCTTCTGTGATCATGTGGAAAGCATGACTATATGCCAAGGCACACGGAACACTATTATCTTCCCAGTGGTACCTATTTATCTACTTGCATTTGCATGCTTTCAAACTGCTAGGTGGGCAGGAGTTAGGGCAAGAAAAAGAACTCACCTCATCACATGGTGCTCAGGTCTCGAACCTGGATTATCAACTTTCCAGCTGACAAGCCCAGTGTTTTAACTGCTAAACTATCATCCTCCCTGTCCTATATTATAAGACCTATAAACCCATGTAGAAGCTGAGACATCCATGAGTACTCCCCTACTAGCCAGAAGTACTAACAAAGCCTTTGACTTTTCTTTGTATCTCAACAGAACATTAACAATTCACAAAGTGAGCCTGTTCCCTTTGAGAGCGGGTGGGGAGAGAAACCAAAACAAAACACTAGTATGTATCCCTTGGAGTCAATACTGAGTCCTAACTCCTAAGTGTAAAAAAGGGAAACAATATATGTAATATTAACATCTTTGGGATTTTGCTGGAGCTTGGGAACTTACTTTCCTTCCCATGGTTCAATTACAAATCTTGGGGTCAGGGAAAAGAAGCTTTGCTGGTTCATTTTCATGGCTTTGCTCAAAAGCTTTCAAGCAAGGATGTTCCTCCTCAAATGTTTTGGGAAATGTTCCTACTTTAATCATTATAGCACCTCTGCATTTGCTGAGTTACAGGGTAAAAGTTTAAAACTGATGTGAGAGGGGTATCACTGCTTGTATCTAACTGGGATAGAGCTGCAACAGTATTTTTGTTTCTTCTTTCTCCCTTTTCATTATTACTGTCCTGCTTTTTTCCATAGTTGTCTCCATTTAATCCTCGATAATTTAAACATTTAAATGATCAGCTTTAAATAGTTAAATCCCACCTTGCCAAACCGATACAGAACAAAGCACATTATAATTCTACTTATGAATAATTGTCCATACTTATTTTCATTTGGAGTTGGTTACAACCACATTCCAGCTTGTACTGGGAAATGTTCAGCTAGAATATTCTTAGAAAGATGTAACTTTCTATAAATGCATTAAGATGAGCCTTTCTACCACCAGGGAAATTTATTTTCCAAAGCCGTATGAAGGTAGATGCTTCAAATGGCAGGGTACATGAGCCAAAATCATGTGATACTGGTTTTGGATTGGGGGGGCCTGGATTCAAGCTGTTGCTCTGAATCCTCTGCACAATTTTAGTCAGTTACCCTGTAATAGCCAGGCCTAGGCTATCTTATTAGGTTGATGATTGCTAAGTGCTACCTCAAGTTTCTCCAAGAAATAGCTGAATCCATGGTGCACTCTGAGATTTCTTGAGACATTTCGTTACTAAACTAGATAACATCATCAGTGCACAGATTAATACCATCCAAATTTTAAGTGCAATGCAAAGGAACCAATGATTTTTTATTAGATATAGCCAAAAAAAGTGTTTAATCAAGGAAGCATGTACCATTGTTCTCAGTTCATACTGAGATATATTTTTTAAAAAATCAGATAGTCCAAATAACTTCATTAAAGGATAACTCCAACTCTCTAAGTGATTTACAGAGTCAGCCTATTGCCCCCAACAATCTGGGTCCTCATTTTACCCACCTCGGAAGGATGGAAGGCTGAGTCAACCTTGAATCTGGTGAGATTAGAACTGCCAAATTGCAGGCAGCCGGCAGGCAGCAGAAGTAGCCTGCAGTACTGCACTCTAACCATTGTGCTACTGTGGTTCTTAATAAAATAAGAAACCTATGTTGCTTTTTTTTTGATCCACTGAAATATATTGAATCTGTATAAAAGAAAACATTTTTTTCTTATTTAATGGACACTGATTATACATATATAATCTATAATATTAAATAGTGTGATATTTACCTGTTTTTCCTGTACCTTCACGCTGTGGCAGCTTCTCATTTAGAGACCCTAAAAGTAGAGCAAAAAACAATGTAATGTAAGAAGCATTGAAAGTATTGAGTTGTGTTACCAAATGTTAAAAGCAGCAGGTAAATCATTGTTTAGGCATTTATTCATATGGAGAAGAGAAGAATAAGGCTTTTATTTCATAATGTGTTATTCTATAAAATATTCTATATCCCTGGGACTTACAATGCTCATCGGGAACTTTTACAGAAGAAAGCAAGACATATTGCATGTGCATTGCATTTTAAGATATTGTAAAAAAAAAACTTAGTAAACAATACTTTTCAGCAATAATTGAACACCTGTTTCAAAAGTTCCTTCCCTTTCCCAAAGGCTCAATATCTCTGGAATTTCTTTTAGCTCCCTAAATTTTGATCTCTTCACTTGGGAGTAGTAAAAATGTCTGGGTTGCATCTGGTGCATTTCAGCAAACAGTTTGTGGAGGATGGGAACATTTAACTTTCTGCAGCCAATGAAGCTGATCTGCTTTATGTTGTATCTCTCAAGTTGTCCAGTGCTTTCACAATAGACTAATGGCTCATGGAGAGGTCTGCCTCCCTATTCTGAGTTATAACACAACAATGCTTTTTATCAGATTGTACCTCAACAGAGAGTACATAAGAAAGGAAAGTATATACATAGGTTTAAGCTGACACCTACCTTATTTGAAAATAATGACAAACAAAAACTTCTAGACTAAGTGTGCATTCCATTTCCATTTAGCTAAATTTCCCAAAAAGTACTTCTTTCAAACTGCAACTGGACTTTTAAATATTTTTCTTGAACACATTTCACTTCTCATCCAAGAACCTTCTTCAGTTCTAATCAACTGGTGGGGAATAGAAAGGATTTGGTTAACTCAACTTTCTATCCTTCTGAGGCTGTTAAAATCAATACCCAGATTGTTGGGGGCAATAAGCTGGCTCTGCAAACCGCTTACAGAGGGCTATAAAGCCTTATGAAGCAGTATATAAGTTTAAGTGCTATTGCTATTTATATTCCCATTATAATTATATTATGAGCTGAGGTGGCACAGTGGTTAGAGTGCAGTACTGCAGCCACTTCAGCTGACTGCTAAGCTGCAGTTCGGCAGTTCAAATCTCACCGGCTCAAGGTTGACTCAGCCTTCCATCCTTCCGAGGTGGGTAAAATGAGGACCCAGACTGTGGGGGCAATATGCTGACTCTGTAAACTGTTTAGAGAGGGCTGAAAGCCCTATGAAGTGGTATATAAGTCTAACTGCTATTGCTGTTGCTAACTGCTAACCCCAGGTGGTTTCAACGACAGAGAGTAAATAACTGGCTGTCTAGAAAGATTATAAATCCTTTCCATTCCCCACCAGTTAGTTAGAACTGAAGAAGCTTCATGGATTAGAAATGAAACGTCTTCAAGAATAATCAAGGATGTCCAGTTGTGGTTTTAAAAAAAGCACTTTTGGGGACAACCATAATTTGAATGACTGAGAACCTCCATATACATTTATCTAAATGGTTTTGCCTGGAAGAAGTTGAAACATAATGGCAATCAAAACAATCTGGAATGCTATTTACAAAGAATTACACTATTGTCAACATACAATCTAATACAAATTATCAGAGATTTCAGTCAATGGATAAATTACTTACCAGAAGCTTGGATCAAGAAGATTTGGATGAGTTATAAAATATGGTGGGTGGACTAATGGGTATAACCTGAATAAATCTAGTGGAGATTCAACCAGACCATCAAACAGGGAATCATCAGACAGTGGTAATAGATAGGAGGGTTGCCAGTGCCCAATAATTAAGAAAGAAAATCAAAATGAATTGAGTCTTAGATAATGCTGTTAGTGATTAATTTATCTTGCAATAAATTTAGGCTGGAGGAATGTAAGCTTTTAAATAAGCTTTTTTTCCCTAGCTCTTCAACTTGAAATATTTTTTTAAAAAAAACACCAGTCATGGTCCAAAAGAGTGCAAGAAACACAAAAAGTGTAGCACACACTTCCATCTAAATAAATACTTGCCTGCTACAAAATACAGTCCTGATAATTGAAATTCCTACTTGTGAACAATTCCTTTTTATGTGGAATACATGATACAAAAGACACATACCACAAGCTCCTGTTTCATGAAATAAGTTTAGCTTTTTGTTTATCAGAAATTGGTGCGAGTGGCTTCAATCAAATTTACTTTACAACTTGTGGTTGGTACAAGTTACATTAGTTCTAGTTACATTCAGGTTTCTGCAAAAATACCACTTTCCGAGGAATCTCCAATGGTCAAAATTCACACTGAACCTTGGCTACATCATGCTCATATGTGCATTCAAAAATATCTTCTAAAATATGCTGAATTTACTGGAACTTATTTGGTTGGGGAGGATTGCCTGCTGCTTTTAGCTCTTCCATTTATTGCTTTCGGGGGGAAAATCCTTAAGATCTGGAAACCATTTTATTGACACATCAAAGGGATTACTATGGGCAAGGGATTTATTAGGAAAACCAAGGCAATTTCTTTCCCCAAACCAATCCAAAAACCCAAATTGAAGGGAACTGTTTCCTGAAGGAAATACAGCTGCCATGTTCTTCTCTCCATCAAGTGCCGCTTGGCAACAGCCATTCCATCAGGCTACAGAAGAGAGAAAGATGGATCAGGATTACTCCATCTGCTCAGCAGGAATCTCTATTTTTTATTTATTGATTTGTCTCCTTCAACTGCTTTCTGTTTGGCCTTTAAAAACATTGTAACTAAGAATTAGTGAATGAGATCATTTTTCTTTCTTTCCTTCAGATCGTTTTTTCAATCGGAAATAGATCTTTTAATACTAGATGCTTGTGAACAGGGACAAATTTACTATACATCAGCCACTCTTTTGAAGAGTGGGGGGTGGAGAAGAAAAGAGAAGCTCCATAGAGGTATCGGAGGGGATACAGGATTTAGTATTGAAGTTCTTATCACTGTTTTACTGGGAGTGGCCTGATCTGGTACAGAATCTTATATCATGGTATAATGTTGTTAAGATTTTTCACCACATTTGAATTGATACATTTATATCAGAGATGAAAGTCAGCAGGTTCTGGAGAACCAGTAGCGGAAATTTTGAGTCATTTGAAGAACTGGCAAATACCACCTCTGGCTGGCCCCAGAATGAGGTGGGAATGGAGATTTTGCAATATCCTTCCCCCAGAAGCGGGGAGGGAATGGGGATTTTGCAGTATCCTTCCTCTGGAGTGGAGAGAGAATGGAGATTTTACAGTATCCTTCCCCTGGAGTGGGGTGGAGAAATGGAGATTTTGCAGTATCCTTTCCCTGCCACATCTACAGAACTGGTAGTAAAAAAAAAAGGAATTTCACCACTGATTTATATGCTCCTTTGTTGTAAGACCTTATCTTTTTTTCTTGAAGTTTATCTTACATGTTAACAGTATGAACATCAACTAGGATTCCAAATAAAATTAGTAAACAAGAAATAGAAAAAGAATTTTATCATACAGCATGCAATTCTCACCAAAATCATCTTAGTCTTCAGTCCCAAAGATTTCTTATGATAAACATTTTGCTTCAGTTTTCAGGATCACTCCCAACAATGCTATCTAGACCTTGACTTGCTAATGAGCAGGCTACATTGATTCTCCAGAATACTGCTTCCTGGGAGGAGCCTGCTGGTGGTGGCAGCAAAAAAATCAGCTGCCTCCGAATTCCTGGCTACGTACCTGTTTAGA